CGGGAGGAGGGCTGCGGCTTCATCAGGTGGCGCACAGTTTCCGACACCTCCTCTGACTTCTTGGACTTCTCGAGCATGGCCTTGAAATTGGCCCCAAACTGCGCGTCTGTCATGATGGGGCCCTCCAGCAGGTCTTTCTGCAGTTTCTCCAGCAAGGAGGGGGAGTGTCGGAGCCAGGTGGACCTCTGGATCATCGTCATCCAGGCGGCGATGCGAGACAGGTCCGCTTAGTAAACCCCTCCACTCTGGTGATGGGAGCGAAGGTGGAGACGGGCGCCTTCAGCTTACCAGGTCCGGCTGCAGCCTCATTCCAGTAGGACGTCACTGCTGGGAAACGAGGCCAGATGGGGTCAGGGCGGCGAGCCGGGGTGGAGCCAAACCTTCCCGCTAGATCATCTGATCTGGGCGGGGGGAGGAGAGGGACGGAAAGTCTTTTTGTGTCAGCTGCCTCCTGGATTATGTCGGGCAGCTCCGAGAGGAGGGCACCAACGCTGGAAGCGGTGTGTTCTCCGATGCGAAAAGGCCCGGGGGGTGGGGGAGGTGGGGGGGTGAGCATATGCTTGGCCCCTCCGTTCCAACACTACGCTCTCCAAGAGGGAATGAGCAGTGGGGCTGCTGCTGACATCACCTTTTCTGGAGGAATCGTCTGATTCGCTCCGTGACTCAGCGTCTAAAATGGCAATGGCGTCCAGTGAACAATCCCCTGCCACGGAAAAACACTCTTCGATGTTAGCCTTTGTTAGCCTTGAACAAGGCTGCTCATCTCTGCTTCTCCTCAGGAGGGAGGAGGTCACAGGGACAGCAGGAGGAGGCGAGGTCAACGTGGCGGGGACCCAGGCATCCTTCACAGATGTCCTGCCGGTCAAAGCTCAAAATGTAGCCAGTCTGGCAGGACGGGCACAAGCGGATGGTGCTGGTGCTGGACATCTTCTTCTCGAAAAACAGTGCTAGTCGCTTGCTGAAGAAAAAATGGGAGCCGATTACCCGGTCTCACCGTAATTTATACGGACCGGGGGTGAGGCCCACACAGCAGGTGGGCGTGGACTAAAGTTTTCAGTGCTGCGCTGCGCGTGAAGGGATAGACCCACTAGCAATAGCCTTAAAGGGCGAAGCCTATACGAAATAGAACAACTTTTTACACGAAGGCACGGGTTTCAACTGTGAATTTTGGAGCTTCAACAAGACGGAGGTTTTTTCCCCTGTGGTCGGCCTGTTTAGGGGGAGTGGTGGCGCAGAGGTTAGAGAGGTGGGCCTGTGATCCGAAGATCGCCGGTTCACGCCCCGACAACATCAAAATTGTGGGTGGGGTAGATGAAACACCCACACTTGCCCCCACCCTCATTCGCCCCACTCTGGGCCCATGAGCAAGGCCCTTAACCCCCACCATGTGCTCCCTAAACAGGTCTCTCTTGAAAATGAGTTCTCGTGGCTCAATGAGACTAACCTGTATAAATAAAGGCTAAAAAAAAAATGTTAGCTTAGCTCGTAGCTTAGCTTCTCACCTTAGCTGCTTTTAACGATCCAAAAATGCGATTCTGGACGGTTCAAACAGATTTTAAAGAGAAAGGGAGGGGTCAGTGAAGAACACTGGAGTTGAGCTTTTTGTCATCCAGTGTCTTCAGTAGAAAGAGAGACACGAAGAAACAGTAAAGCTGATAAATGAAAATGAGGTCAATAATTTTCGTTTATCATGCGATTAATTGATTTATTGTTTATTGTTACAGGCCTAGTGGCTAGGGCTTTAACAGACTATTCCAGTAATCTACATATCGATTTCTAGGACACCTCTAGAATTTTAAAATTTCACGTCGAGTATTCACAGTGACGTCATTGTGTCACGTGATCCGCACCGGGCGCAGGCTACTAGTAGAAGCTACAAAATGGATTCCTGAAAGCAGACGGATGGAGCGGAGCAGGTCCAGTCTTGGCAAACAGCAAACAGGTAGAAATGCATCAATAGTCTGGAAATATTTCACTAAAGATGAATCTTCTGGTTCAACTACCGTAAGGAAACAGAAAATGAATCAACTTCCTGACTGTTTGGAGCTCGTTGGAACCGGTTACACCATTTTCTGTGACCACTGTATATTGTGACCATAGGGGGCGGTGTTGCATGCACTGTTGCAGGTCGCAGAATATGGTCTCTAATCAGGTCTCTCTTGTAAATGAGTCCTCGAGGCTCAATGGGATTTACCTGTAGAAATAAAGGTTGATTGATGGTGTAACACCGGGTCCAATGACCAAACCAGAACCAGCTTCCTCTGACCTTGTTTCACAAACTAAAAGCAAAAAATATTAATCTCTAAAACTATAAAAAACCTATAAACATATTAATCTCTAAAACTAAACCTAATGCACACCACAGCTGGCGGTGGTGGAGGGTGGTCGTCCGCCCCACTGTTTTTAGTTTAGTTTTTTATGTGGTGTATGTTTCTTTCACTTTTGCAGCTTAATAATAAAAACTAATAGTTTAGTTTTCCTGTGACTTGTTTGCAGTTTGATAAATGGTAGGAGCATAATATTTGCTCCCAATGTTTTGTTGGTCTTTTTTTTTGGTAAATAATAAATTACTTTTTTTTTGCGGTTTTATTTATTTTTGTATATTTAGATCCTATGACGTCATCAAGTACTCGAGTTCTACTCGAATTTTTTTATGTTAATGTCGAGTTTAAAAATTATGTAGCCGTTCAACCCCTACTAGTGGCGATAGCTGAGAATGTTCCCGTCACATACTGAGTACAAATCCTAAATCCAAGATGGCCGCCATAGCTTAAAAAAACAGTACAATAACTCATTGATTTATTTTTTTTACCACATTGAGCTGAAATTTGTTCTGGTGGAAGCTGAGAGTGAACTTGAACACAGTACTGTCAAATTAAAATGATAAACTGGCCGTGAGGAGTCAGGCCCTGTCAGAGTTCCTGCAGGAACCTTCTAGTTCCTGGAACATCTTGAGTCTTTGCACAGGTAATGGCTGCATGTAGAGTCATAGTTTCCTGGTGTTTTAACCTCATGTTTTCAAACGAGTTATATACTCTGTAAAGAAAAGAAAATATGGGTGAAAAATAAATATTTTTTTCTCTGTTGCGTCTTTATTTTGTGTGAAGCAGAAGCAGCTGCTGTGATGAAGACGCTTCAGATGAAATCATGTTAGCTTTATTTTGATCCCAGGATTTATTCATCAAAGTCTCTTAACTGCTGAGAAACACTCGGTTTTATTTGAGCAAGTTATTTTCAGGGAAACCCCGAACAGGTTAAACTCCTGCTGGAGCCAGTGGGGGGGGTCAGAAGGTCTGGGTTTCTGTGGAACATCTAAATGTTTTTAACAGAAACACGAGTGTTTTTATCGCCTCAGAATAAATGTTTTCTGCTCGTTGCTGTGGATGAGGTCAGCTCCAGACTCTTCTCTGTTCCTGTAGGTGGCGCCGGCAGAGGGCTTCTCGGACCTGGCTGTCCAGGTGATGATGTCTCCCTCCAAGAACTTCATCCTGCTGATGATCGCTCTGAGCGTGTGCGTCCTCTTCCTGGTGGGGCTGCTGTGTGGTCGGATCACGAAGCGAGTGACGAGAGAACTGAAGAACCGGTAAAGCCTGGGTTTCAGGAAGGATGGACCTCTCACGCCCTCCTCCTCCTCCTCCATCAGTCACTCCATCCTGTAAACATCTGGACCCCCTCCTCTGTTGACACCCAAACACTTCAGAGTTCTGATTGTTTGTGCCCAGACTGCTGGAGGGCGTGAGGCCGTCCGTTCTCCATGAACGCTGTGGATTGACTCGGGGGCTGCTGCTCCTGGTTCGTTTCTCGTGACATTTACCGGAGACTGATTGTTGCTTTGTCTGCAGCTGCCCGATCAGCACATGGAAACACTGAGGCATACTCTGCTGTTAAATCCTGAGACCATGCCGTTGCTTTGAAGCGCCTATAATCATCCGTCATCATCCTCCCCCCACCAAAATATAATCTGACCTGCTTCTGTCCGATCAGTTTAGGCCTTTTGGTTTTGCTGAAGACCGACTGCTCTTCATGAACAAGAATGTCTTTTGCACATTTCATTTCATTGCACTGTTTTTGTACATTCATGTCTAATTTATTGTTGATTGCGGTTGCACTTTGTTTGATTCTGTTGTTTTTTTGTTTTGTTCTGGTGGTGCTTCTGAACATCGAGGACACCCAGAGTTTAGACTAAAGGCTCCCACATACTCGGGCGTACTTCACCCCGCAGAGTTGTGCACGTACTGGATTAGACTCGACGCAGACTCAAAGTGGACGTCCACTGGGCATGTCCATGCAAAGATCAGTTTTTACGACCTCGTACTCGGTGTCGCACAATAAACTGCTCAGTGACAGGCTGTTGTGTATGTGACACCAGTGTATTAAATTCCCCTTCTTCATCCCTGGTCTGGTTTAATGGCCTTTTGTTTTTTCTAAGAGGCAGTGATCTCTTCCTCCTCGTCCGTTGACACCATGACTGAAATGGTGAGAAATGAAGGAATTTGTCATGAGACGATTAAAATCAGGTCCAGTGTGACTGCAGGAGGGTCTGGAGAGTTCCTGGTGGGCTGCAGGGCCAGTGCTCCCTGTTTTTATTTTATTTTTAAAACTTTTTATTAACGTAAACGCAGAACACCTCTGCCCAGGGCCGCTGGTAGCTCTCGGGGGTTTTTTTTTGCGACCTGTCAATCAATCCAGTAGGCGTGTCAGCAAATGACCAGTCAACAAACTCAGTTTGTCCCGAAGGTAAACACCCCTTGCCTGCGGAGCTGGTCTGCAGCCCATCAGGATGTACGCTCGAGTATGAAGTCTCAACCATCTGTGCACAGTGTGCACGTGGCTCACGGAGTACACGCAGTACGCTCCAGTCTGTGGGAGCCTTGAGAGCTGGAGATGTCACGTTTTCAACACCATCCTGATCCTAAATGATACAGATGTTTCCTCCAGTGGTGTTAATATGTTGATAGAACGGCGGTCGAGGACACTGGATTATTTGAAGCTGCTAACTCTTTCCATGCTCTTGTGCAAGATTTTCATGTTTCTGAATATTTTTTTTACATTTCTGTGGCTCAGTAAAACCAGTCAGCTTCAAGCGTTCATGAAGACGGCTGTAACAGGACTGGACTCGTCTGATAATTAACTTGTCATCCATGCTGTCCCTTGGAGATAAAACATGAAAACTTAAAACAAGCCCAGATTTTAACTTCACTCGTTTTCTTTTCCTCAACAATGAGACTGAAATTTGTGCTGCAGAAGACCTGAATAAAATTTATATTTAAACGGTTTTATTTAAAATTCATTGCTCGCTCTCTGTTTACATGTTTGTGGCTAAAAATGTCTGCACACGTTCAGAAAACAAACATTTTAGTCTAAAGTTGGTCGTTGTTCTTACATTCATGCTTTTCCTCCCCAGTAAGTGATGGTGTCACTGTCACTCATCAAGCATCAGACTGGTGGATCTGTGCAGGATCCATCATCTTCCTCTTGTTCAGGTGGTGGGGGCAGCAGCTTGAACAGGGAGGACCAGACATCTCTCTCCACACCCACCTCTTCTGGGAGGACTCCAAGGTGTCCCCAGTCCAACTGAGAGACCGTCTGTCCAGCATGCCCTGGCTCTTCTCCCAGTCAGACATACGCAAACCACCTCAACTGGTTCCTGTGGATGAGCAACGGTTCTACTCCGAGTCTCTCCTGATAACTGAACTTCTCACCCCGTCTCTGAGGGAGAGTCCAGCTGCCCTGCAGAGGAAACTCCTTTCAGCTCCTGTATCTATTACAGGTGCACCGATTGCAGTTGTCTGGCCCATCACCGATTTCTAAAAAGTCTGATCTGCCGATATGATTTTGTTTTATAAGCGACACTGTCAGGTGTTATAAGGTCACAATGCACCTTCAATTTTCCAATATTGTTTTATTGAAAAACATACCCTTGAACAATATCCTAGAAACTTGTTTCAACTGGCCATGAGGTAGTGCTCTGAAATATAAATGAAGTTCAGACATTTGTAGTGAACTTGACCTGATGTCAAATCTGACCAGATGGACAGAAACTGTTATTTCATTGATCTGCATCCAGAAATACAGTTTGACCCATCTGGAGACTTTCTTTCTTGAATTAATCAAGTAGAAAAGACAATTCTCTATGATCATTACTATTTTACAAATGTTTGATAATCAAATTGTGTTAGCTCAAACAATGTTTACAGGTTGAAGAGAACTACTCATTTTTATTTACATAAACAGTAAGTAATGATTTTTATTCCTCATTCAAAGAAGAAATCAGGGTAATATGCATTTCTTGATTTTTCTGTCTTCAATGAGCAAGTTTGTAAGTGTGTTAAAGTTCAGGTTTCGGTCAACTAAAAAGTTTACTGAAAAGAAATGTCATGTTTAACTTTTACAGCAGATACTAGGAGTAGAGACTCCACGAAGTCTGGTTTTCTCCAATAATCTTTCTGTCTGTTTTAAACAATCCTAATCTCTATCCTTGACTTTCATAACATCTTACATCACAAACCACACCTCTGTTCTGGTCCATCCACCAATTAGAAAGCTCTCAAATGAACCGGAAGTCGACCCATTTAAATGTGGCAACTTCCCAGTTCAACGCTCTCTGATGCAGCTCATGGAGAAGTGAGATGAAAAAGTTCTCTGATACAGAAGCTTCAGAGTTCTCTCAGGGATGAGATGAGACGAGATGTGACGAGTAGAGTTCTGAAGGAGTTCAGAATTCTTGCAATCCAGAATGCAGAGACGATTTTGGGAATTATAACTTCTGTTTGGATAACCTCGCACGACTCCTAAAAGTATTTTAGCTGTTCTCAACGGAGACGCTGAAAGAGTCAAAAGAAGGACTTCGCGCCGACCTGATCTATCATCAACCAGGTAAAAGTTCTATTTCGACCAAGCATACCGTGACCAAGCTGAGATCTGAAGGAGCGTGCACGTTCTGGCCAAACAGATAAATTCCCTCACACATCTCTCTGTAAGATAAATCTCCATTTTCCATCTTTAAACTCTCCTTTCTCCTAAAATCATTACAGATATTTTTAGAAATGTCTGAAGCAAAGTTCTCAATCACTGCCGTGTGATTGATGTCTGCTGTTTCTGCTGAAAAGTGACAACAATCTCCGTATTGTTCCCACTTCCTGTGAAACTAGCCATGTTATTGTTTTCATATTTTGCCAAATTAATGTAAATGTTTGATGTTAAACTTTGATTCTGTAAATAAATGACCGCATTCATTTTGATGGGTCAAAGATAAATAACGTCTCTCGTTTACGTTTCTGTTAAACTCAATGCACGCATGTTACACAGTCAGAAAAATGAAGAACCCGTCTTAATGTATGAACATATCCAGTATATGTCATACTACACATTTGTTGTTAAAACTAAAAAAAAATCAGTAAAATCAGTTTCTCATGTCTCGGTCGATTTCCCCAAATTAAGGAAATCTGAGCTGATAAATCGTTGCACCCCTAGTATCCATGATCTCATACTTTCAGTCACTACCCAGAGTTCATGACCAGAGGTGAAGGTAGGAATGTAGGCTGACCAGTAAACAGAGCGTTGTCTTACAGCTCGGCTCCCTCTTCACCACAACGGACCGGCACAGACTCCACAATACTGCAGACGCACAGAGCTGTTGGTCACTCTCACGCTCTATTCTTCCCTCACTGAACAAAACCCTGAGATTCTCCAGAACCCCAGTCCCAGTCCACCCTCCAGACTGATGGACATCCGTCCTTCTTCTATACCTCCATTTATCTGTTCTGTGCAGACGTTCAGAACGAGGAGCCCGCTGGTTGGACTCACTGATGTTCTGCACCATGCTTCCATTTGGATACAGACCCTCACTCTGACTCTACATGACGACTCCTCTTCATAGTGGGCGTGGCTTTAAGGGTCATGTGACACGTTCCAGTCATCTGATTAAATCTCCTTGAGCTTGAAGGCCGATCAGTGTTGAAATTGTTTTCATTTTAGGGACTTTTCCAGAAAATGTTCAGTTTCTATTCATTCTCTCAGGAATTGACCTGAAGTAGAAAAAACATTCGGTCTAAAGTGAAATCGTTCATCTCCAGGTGGAAACCAGCAGCTTCTCTCGCCGAGGCGTTTGGTTTACATGTGACCTCATGTTGAGAGGACTTTAAAAAGCAAAGACAGAAGTTGTGTCTGTAAATCTTCATGTGTAGAAAGTGAAATGTGCAGTTTGGTTTCATTTTAGATTATTCATTAAGAACAGATTTATTGAGGCTGTACAGAGTCAGTTTGTCAATTTTTCAAAGATTTGTCTCGTATTCAGTCTCTTTCAGCCTGAACACCTAAAGTTAAATGTATTTGCTGCCCTGAATTAACGCTTTCATCATAAACGTCTGATAATGAGGTCAAACAGGTAAATAAAATAAAAATCCATTGTTAGTTCTGGTCAGACCCTGAAACCAACATGGAGACAGCACAAGGAGCGAAGGTCAATGACGTTATGGTTTGGTTGAACAGACGTCTTCAGTTCATCTGTAATGAAGCTGCTGTGTGGATGAAACATGAAATCTGATCAGAACCGAGGAAACCGGACCTCCTATGTGCCCAGACGGTTCTCCAATCACCTCTTCATGAAACACAAGCAGTATGCCGATGTTCCCCGTCCCCGAGGGATTTAAAGAGTGAATGTTTTTAGATGGTTTTCTGGACTGGAGCAGAGAACGTCAGTAAACTGGTGGAGCTACACTGTGTATAAGAACGGAACGCTTTTTCTTTACTTCATTTTTCTGGTCAGATTCTGGAGAGAACAGTTTAATCCACCACCAGGCTCAGTGGTGGAGCCAGAGGGGGCCCAGTGGTGGCCATGACCACCATAAACTATTCTTCGGCCACTCAGTTATTTGTGGAAACTTGTTTTAAGCAAAACTAGAGGCAGTTTCTTAAAATGATTAAGGTGACCAGCTTTGAATCGATACATGGAGTTCAGATTTCATCTCCAAGCGGCGCACGGCTGCTCACCAGAGCATCGCACTGTGCACGTCACGCTCACCTCCCTCATGCAGAATCCTGTGGGAAAAGGTTTGGGTGTTAAATTACTTTGTTTTACGAAAAAGTATGAATCCATCACTTGTTTGAGTTTTACCAAACGTGCACGTTATCTCATGTTCTTGGACTGAGAAAAAGGACCAAGTCTGAGGTGTCCCCCCCCCCCCCCCCACCACAACAAGCTCTTTATTTGTGTTTCCCATGTTATGTACTGTTCATGCTACATTACAGGACAAATGTTACATTATAGGGAGAAAAAACAAAAAGCAGCATTTAGCTTTTATTAAATGTTAAATATGTGTGAAGGTTAGTTGTAACAAAAGTCAGATCAGCAGGACAGAGGTGGGGGGCTGGGGGGCTTCCTCACAAATGACAAATTAAACATGAAAAACCCACAAACCCACCGACAGACAAAAGACCAAACCTTCAGGTGACTGAGGTACATTTGTTATACATGTTTTTAACGCATGGTTTTCACTTCTCATCAGACCCAAAGCCACTACAGTTCCATCACTGTGTCAGTCTTACTCCATTTTTAAATTAGGACAAAGATAAATATAAAACAAAGTAATGCCACTGATGTTGTAAAAATGCTCATCTTTAAAAGAATTTCAAGGAAACAAGTGGCAACAAACTTGTCAGTCCATGTTGATGGTTAGTTTTTATAAGCATCTATCGTATTTAATAAAAACAAGAATCAAACCTTAAACAAAAACATCTAAAAAGAAACGGACATTCATAAATCTACTGGGAGCAAATCAAGTCAATCCCAATTTAATTCATGTCCAAATAACAGCTGCTGATTGATGGTTTGGGGTCAGACTGGTGGTAGAAGCAGCAAGTATCTGGTTTTCATTGGCCACGCACCAGAGCTGAGCTGCAGCTCCTCGCTCAGACTGCACTCGACTCGCGTTCGGGTGTTTTAGTTGAACAGAAAGGCGGCACCAAACCAGTCTTCATCATTTCTCTTACAGAAGAGAAGCACTGAGCGCTAACGGGCTGAAAATCCTTGGCTGCAGATCTCTGACATCATCAGCTGCAGCAAGTCGTGCGATGGATCTGATGGAGATCTGCGGTCAACTCTGTTCATCTGGTGCTGATGGAATCTTTATTTTTGAAACTAGATTAACCAAATCAATTTTGGATAAAGATGTGGCAAGTGATGGATTTAACATGTAACGTTCTGACTGTCAGAGGAGGGGGGTGGGGGGCGTCACAATTTACATCAGAACAAGCCTGGATTCTCAACTGGTCTCTGCTAAAACAATCCCAAACCAGTTTGAATTCCTCCCATCACAACTTCTCGTTAACTCTGTTCCTGTGTCAAATAAGCACGAGATCCTGAACTGTTTCAACAAACATTTTGTTGCTTCTAGTTCTTTATTTGACACAGTTACTAAAAGAAAATCTTTAATCTCTCCATAAGACAAAACTCCATCCCAGACACTTGGAAACAGCCTTTGTTCTTCCTTTGCTGAAGGGAGGTGACCCCACATCACTGAACAACTATCGACCAATCTCTAAACTCTGCATTTTAGCCAAGGTTCTAGAAAAACTGATAAACTCTCAAATCAAAAATTACCTGGACTCATTTAACATCTTACCTCCACATCAATCTGGTTTCAGGAAACAACACAGCACAACCACTGCTTCACTGAAGGTTCTTAATGACGTTGTTGAAGCACTGGATGCTAAGGATTATTGTGCTGCACTTTTCTTAGACCTGTCTAAAGCTTTTGACACTGTGGATCAGAACATCTTGTGTCATAAACAATCAGAAATTGGTTTCTCAGATCACACCATTGGTTGGTTCTCTAACTCACAGATAGTGTTTCTCCTAGCATTATACAAGCGGGGCGGGGCGCCCCGTCAACAGAGCCGAGCACCCTGTCTAAATGTGAACGTTAGGAAACACCTTGTTACTGTGACCTTCCTTCCCTCCATTGACTACAGAGACATCATTTACATGAACGCCCCTACAAGCAGCTTGCAGATGTTGGACACTGTCTATCATGGAGCACTAAGATTCATAACTGTTTTTTTTTTATAATACCGTTTTCTTTCATTTATTCTTCTCAATTTATATGCTTTATTTTATGATCATCTACTGTTGTCATCATTCTTTGTTAAAAACAGGACTCTTGTAAATGAGGCTCAATGAGACTAACCTGTACAAATACCTGATGTCTCTTTAGAATGATTTGTGCATTATCTTTGTAGAGATCTAGTATAGAGCTGTATGAATGTGTAAATGAGGACACAGATTGTTGTAAAGAGCTTTAAGTAGCTCTATAAGATAGAAAGGTGTTGTATAAGTACAGTCCGTTTACCATTTAAATAAAGGTTGAATGAACTTGACTCTCTTCGGGGTTAGATACGAACAGAATGAGCGGACACCCAAAAGTCAGAGCTCAGTGAAACGATTCTTCAAAAACAGCAGGTGAGGTGGCAGCAGACGTCCTGTGGCTTTTCTCTTTCTTCTGGATTGTTCAAACATAAACAGCCTTTTGTGGCTCAAACAGAAAACATAGAAATCTTTACTATCAGTAAGCAGAAGTGTTCTGGTTCCTCTGCAGGACGTGATGTTCTGGTAGCTCCGACTCGTTCGGATTGGTTCTGGTTGGTCACGTTCAGCTCCATCTCGGGCTGACGGAGCATCAGGAGGTGAGGAGCTGGACGTAGTTGGCAGGGTACAGGCCCATCTGACCATCCCTCAGCTGTCCTTTACACCAGCCCTGCTCATCCTCCTCCCCCAGCTTCAGCAGCTCGTCCCCTGAAGACAAACATCACATCTGCTCATTTACCCTCTGTACGCAAACGTCCAAGTTTAGGTCTTAACCTTTACAAACAACGCAACTCAGGGAAGAGTTTTAAAATGACAGACTGACAGAAGACAAACAGTTATTTCATTTTTTATTTTCACCCAAGGTTCTCAGACATTAATCTACCATTTAATATTTACAATCAATTAAATGTCTGAAATTTTGTGTAGGAGCTGAGCTGAAGGTGCATTTTAGAGCCATCTGTCTGTGTCACTAAATTTTAGAAATCTTCAGCTGTTCTCAGTATACTTCATCTTTAGCTGTTCTAAGCGAATTTCAGCTTCAGTTCTTACTCAGTATACTTCATCTTTAGCTGTTTTTAAATCAGCATATTTCATCTTTAGCTGTT